TTTATTTATTTATATATTTATATATATATATATGGGGTATGTGTATACCCTGAACCCGACACCGCTGGAAGGAATGCAAGCGCCTTTTCGAGCTTGCTGCAGAAGGTGTCGTCAGGCAGTCTCTGGTTGTGTTTGAATCACTTGCTGCAGCCGCTGCTGCTACTTGCTGCTACTACTACTACTACCACTACTACTACTACGACTAGTACTATCAGTTCAATGTACTGTCACGACGACGCCGCACGACTATCAGTGTTCTTGGAAATCACACCTTTTCTTGAACATGCTTGGCTAAACGGGTGCTGCAAGTCTTTGAACACGCTTTCTTTCCATGACAACCCATGATACTGTCGTGTTTCACGGTGATTCTGGGACTGTCTTTATGCCTGCTATCAGCACTATCGTCGTTGCTGGTGCTGCTGCTTGTTAATTGTTCATGTCCACTCACTCAGTTTCTTCCTCTTAGCTTTAGGATGTCTGTCCACACCGCAACGAGAAATTGCCAAAGTAGACAGTGTCATTATAGGGCCCCAGCGACGAACCCTTCTCCAGAACTCAACCCATGTTCCCTAAGCCCCAAACCCGAAGCCCTCAACCTTGTAAGCCTTTCGTGAGCTCGCCGCTAGAAATGTGACGCTAGCCGGACTGATCTTAAAAACATGTCAAAACCCTTGTCAGACGCCAATACCATCGTACAAGAATCGAGCCACAGCTGATTCGACCTCGAGGCAAGCTGCTGCAGTGGATGGCTGCAGGAACCGACCTGATCAACATGCATGGAGCCCAGATGGGGTCATTTGTGGGTGGTTGGGATTTTTAGGGTGTTTAGGGTTTAGAAACTGCAAGTTTAGGGTGTAGGGATTGCGATGAGGTGTGTGTATGTGTGCGTGCTCTAGATTAGCGTTTTCTTTCATTTTGTGCCGGGGGGGTCTCGGTCCGCGGTCCGTTTTGAAGATAACCAACCCTGAACCAAAGAAATGTTCTTTTCTATAGCATCCTTATAGGTCTGAGTTTCAGGGAATTAATTACTGGAGGTAGCTCATGGCCATACTATGTAGCCATCATTGTAACAGGGCGGGGAACCTCCAAGTCCCCTTACCCTTGAGGCCCCTTCTTTACTCTTGACCCCAATCATTCGAAATGCCAAGGTCGGAACCTGAAGCCTGCAGTTGATGCCTTAGCACCGAGGTCGGCCGTGCCATCGCACTTCGCAATCTGCGACGTGCACCAAGGCTGGGAAGATTCTTCCGGTCCCTGTTGCAGTGATAGAGCCAGGCTTATGGCTTATGGGCATCATGATTACGCTGTGTATGGTTCTCAGATTCTCCAGCTTGCTGATTGCTGAGGTCTAGATATCTTTTGTACTCAGCTAGTTTTCCGAACCGTGGCACTGCACACATGAGCTGGTCATGCTAGCTGGGAACATCATATGTTGGTGTTCTCACTC